CTAAATGGTCCCAGCTCAGACCATAATTTGGGGCCCGTCACTAACCCACAGACTTTCCCCGAGGCTGGGCACCATGTTTGAAGAGAGGCACAGAGAAACAGAAATGAACAGAGTGGGGACACATCCCAGAGTCCATGTCAGCTGAGAAGCAGCTAAGAGACCGGGGAGGTTTTGCCTGGAGAAGAGAACACAGGGGTGGCTGAGGGAGGAAGGGGGCGGGGAATATTGATTTAATATTCACTGTGTGTCAGGCACTGTACAAGGGTCTGAAAATAGAGCGACATTCTGGTCCTCCTGGAGAATATGCTAAATTATAAATATAATGGCTTACATTTTTCTTTTTTTAATCCTCACCTGAGGATATATTCATTGATTTTTAGAGAGAAAGGAAGGGAGAGAGAGAGAGAGAGAGAAACATCAATGTGACAGAGAAACATTGATTAGTTGCCTCCTGTATGCACCCCGATGGGGAATCAAACCCACAACCTAGGCATGTGCCCTGATTGGGAATCGAACCTACAACCTTTTGGTGTATAGGACAACACTCACCCAACTGAGCCACCTGACCAGGGCTGGTTTACATTTTTTTGAGGGCTTATCTTGGTTAGATACTGACCTGCAAGCCTCATATAAATGATCACATTGAATCCCCCCAAACCCTCTATGAGGCAGCTATTATTATTATCGTGCTCATTTGGCTGGTAAAGAAACAGGCACAAGAGGTAGAGATCTTGCTGGAGGCGTTAAGGTCAGTGACAACTGGTACCTGACCCGGGGCTTCCAGGCTGCAGCTCCTGGTGCTTAACCATGAGGCTTATTGCCCTTCTCCAGTCTAAGACGGCTGCCACAGTGTGTGAAATACTGGCATGCATGGGTTTGGATTGATGGCAGCAGCCCCATTTCCCTGTGTATCTCATAGTGCCCATGCCAGAGCAAACTGTGGCCTTGAACCATTGCCCGGCCTCTGCCTGCAGGCTACAGGCACTGAGGCAGATTGCACAGTGGGAGAAAATAAAATAGGAAAAGAAATACTTGCAAATATATTATTCCCTTTGATCCTCTTAGCAGTTCTTCGAAGGACCTGTGATGGCCACCATGAGCGATGAAGGCATTTCCCCAGCAGGCTAGTGTCCCCGAGCCTGTCCTGGCGCCCTCCACAGGACCCAGGGTACAGTGTCTCCTTTGTGCTGTGTCTTAACAGTTCCCCCACAGTGAACATGTATTCTTTTATAACCACTAAAACAGTATCAAAGTACAGAACGTGGCCTTTTCTTCTCTGTATGTTCTGTAGTTAGCTCTCAGCTGTGAGTGTGGCCTGTATTTCGGAGGTGGCCTGCGGGACACTGTGCTCTTTCATTTTCTTCATTTACAGTTTCCTGCCTGTGAGTTATGTGCTGTGGGGAACTGGGCAGCAAAGCTACCAGAGGCATCAAGAACCACGCCAGCATTCCCCGCCAGGAGGCGCTCACGGACGCCTTTCCACCCGTGCGCCAGGTGGGCGGTGGGACTCTCAGAGCAGGCGCGGGATTTTTCTTCTCATGACCCACTAACCTTAGGGTAGGCTGCTCTATCTTGAAAACAACAGCAACTTGACCCAATCACTCGCTTTTTTCTTTTTTCCCCTGCAGTTTGGTAATTATCTTGTAATGTTGCCAGTGGGAGGGACAAGATCCTGCGGCTTATAGAACTGGGGGAGGTGAGAGCCGTTTGGATGAATTCTCTTCATTTTACAAGGAAAGAAGCAAAGGCTAACCGAGGAACTGGAGGAGACGTGACTCGCTCTCTGGTGAGGAATGTCACCTCCGGTTCTAGTTCTGCTACCTACATACCTCTCAGCTCTCCTAGTCCGACTCCTTTTAAGAGAGAAGAAAACAGAAAGGTGCATGATTTGTCCAAGGCCAACAAGTGAAGGTACAGATGGACCAGAGGCCAGGTCTTCTAGCTCCCAGTCCCCGCAGCTGGGTGCGGACGGAATAAACCGGTTACCTGAAGCATATGATCCTCACAGAGCAAACACACAAAGCAGCCATGCATACAGGACAAAGAGTGAGCGGGTCAGAAACAGAGACAAGAGAGACAGGAAGAGGAGAGAGAGAAATATTTTTCTAAAAGTAGGTACAGAATTCCCTCAGGGAGAGAGCACCTGCTGTGGGAAAATGAGCTCCCCAGGAGAGCTGAGTATCTGTTGCTACCAGAGAATTGAGATGAACCGTCTGAATAACAGAGAAAGAAAATTCTGGAGCTCCGAGGGGAGTGTCTAACTTTAGGTTTCTCCAAAAGCCAACCCAAGACCAGGGCGTGGGTGCAGGTAGTGTGTCTGGGAGGTGATCATAGGAAGCACCATGAAGCCAGTTAGACCAGAGATCTGTCTCCTCTTCCACAGCAGGAGGCGATGCTGCCTTGTTTTATTTTTCCCTGGGAAGATCTGAGGTTGAAGTTCTACTCTGAGAAAAGGCTTTGTCACTCACTCTAGCTGCTACTCTGGCCTCTCTATAGATGAGATAACCTGTAGGTGGTTTTCCCATCTATAAAATGGGGGTGATAAAGCCTGCTCTGCCTAATTCACAGGGTCTTGGGGGAGACAGTCAGCTGAGATAATGACTGTAAACACCTTGTATAAATGGTAGAGCATGTCATTCATCCACTATCAAGTGATTATGAGCGTTTATGTCTGTGTTGGTTCCTGAGAATTTAAGAATGAGATATAGTTCCTACCCATGCGGGACTTTCAGTTTGATGTGGATATTGACAACTAAGAACATAATTGAGTTACTATGACTCATCCTATGAATTACTGTGACTCACCCTAATATAGTAATTATAGATTACCATGCTATGAGAACACAAAAGACTTGGTGGTGCCCACACATACCCAGCAGGAGAGTGGCACATTTATCCGGTCCCCAAGCCTTTACAGAATCCCCGATCAGTACATATCTCTACTGGTTGAGGCGTGTGCCTCCTTGGCTCTCACGTCACTGTTTGTTCTCTCTGTCCCCTGTTGCTTGACGTGTCTGTTTTTGGCATAACCTCCTTTCCAGGCCACAGGGACAGACCTGTTCTACTGTCCTTTCTTGGGCAAACATCCCATAAAGGGAATGGGGCCAGTCTCCCAGGAAGTACAGGCTGTTCCTGTGTGCACACAGCCTCAGGGACCAGGTGTCTGCCAAGCCTAACATGCAGCCTTGCGTATCTAGTGTTTCTGAGGTCATGACATGCCAAGAGAAAGGAGCCCAGAGATCCTAATTCTCCATCTCTCCACTTGCAATGCAAAACCCCTTTCTAACTGCCAGGTATATATAAAGAGCTGTGCGCTAGCCCAACCCAGTGGCCAACACCACCTCCTACCAGATGGCAGGAAGCAAACCTGCAGGAGGTTAGAGGAACTGCTTCTTTAAGAACCTTTGAGCTTACAGGAAAGACCAGATTGGTGGTAACAGGTGGTGAGGCTAGTCCCAGGAGTGCCCAGAAGAGATGAGGTCCTTGAGAAGCATTTATTTATCCAGCCCTGGTCACTTCTGTGTGCTCCTGTATCTACTCTATTCATCTTTCCCGCTGTGCCATTGGTTTTATTGTAGAAGCTCTCTTAACTGACCTTCATGTTACTGCCTTGCCAAGAAAACTTGAACTCACTATTTCCTCTGTAAATGTTCTGATTGGTACCTGTGGGAGGTGGGTCCTTGCAACCAAGAGACCACTTTCTGGTTTGCATGTAGATTTTCCCTTCCCACTAATTGAGTTACTAGTTTTTAGTTATTGTTTACTGAGTCAGTTCTATTTGTCTCTAAATTGTTTATTCCCATTGTAGCTGTTATTGTTATTATATGATTTAATAAGATATTATATAAATTGATGAAATTCATTTCCATGAAAGCTGAGTTATATTTTTTGAAAGCTTCAATAAAAGTGAATAGTTAATACAAATTGCTGTCAAAGGTGTAGGAGAAAGAACTGGACATGGTGTGATAGATATTGTACATCACTTTTGCTCACATCCCACTGGCCAGAACTTGGTCACATGGCCATGCCTACCACCATGCAAGCTGGGAAATGTAGTCTTTATTCTAGGAGGCCACATGCCCAGCTAAAATTTGGGTTTTCTTACTTCGAGATTGGGGGAAGGGGTATTGGGGACAATGGTCAATTTCTGCCATAGTATGTAAAAGCATTTTTTCCCCCTAAGATTCTTTGATTCAACCATTTAAAAAAAATTAACTGACAGATTCTTGGAGCAGATAGCTTCAGATAAGAAGACTCTTACCGTATAACTTACCTTCCTGGGACTCTCTTCTGCCTAAGTGCTATTGAACCTTTGTTCATTCAGTGGTTTTTTATGCATTCATTTATTTAGTCCACAGATGCTTATTGCTGTGCAAGGCACCAGGCTCTGAGGAAATGGTGACAGGCAAGGAAGACAGGCCCTGCCTCCTGTGGTTCACAGCCTAGTCGGGATCCTGCATAGGTGGTGTGACAGGGGTCCTGTCACGTATATAGAGTCCTGATGGAGCACACAGGAGAGGACGAGGGTTAGAGAAAACTTCCGGGAGGTGAATTTTGAGAAGGTCAGTAGGTATGAGGAGGCACTGAGATGAAGGTGTGTCATAGGTGTGACCATGCTGCTCTGGACACTCACTTGGAAGTTAGTGCCCACTGTCCCCTCGTGCTCTCCCTGTCCCCCCCCCCCCCAGGTACATTTTGCTTTTTCCCCTACCAACACATCCTCCTCTTGAATAGGCAAGCTCTCCTAATGCTCATGCCTTTTCCTTTCCTCTTGCCTTACCTTTTCCTTCTGCTTAGAGTGCCCTCCTCATCTTGTCATTCTGACAATCTTCTGCTCATCCTGCCTCACTCTCGGTGTTCCCCTGACTCTGCCCACAAGGGCTCACCCTCTCTTGCATTTGGGCCTTTCCAGCACTTTACAGGCTCTTCTAGGACCTGTCTGTCGCCCTAAGCACAATGCAAGCACAAGGAAGGCCGTTACTGTGCTTCAGTTCTGTCCAACACGCGCACGTCTAGCTCAGTGCTTAGTCTTCAGTGAGGGCTCAACAATGTTCGAGGAGGATGTGGGATTTTGGAGGAGTGGAGTGAGCCCTGGACTAGTAGGTCTCAGAAGACTTGGCATGGCTCCACTTTTTCATATAGTGCAGGATGGTGGGCAACTCACTTCCTCGGTTTAGAGCTCAGTTCCCTATCTATACAATGAGAAGATTGCATTTAATAATTGCTATGATTATTTTACAAAACCATAATTCAAAATGCTCACCACTCCTACGGCCACCTTCCTAGGGCACAAGTTGCTGGGCTTTGAATCATGCGACTTTGCAACCTTGATCATAGCTAAAGCTTAGATGTGAGGGAGTTGGTGGCTTCTGTGTGTTAGGGAAGAGGAGCCATGGGTGAGGAACTATGCTAACCACACCCTTTCTGTTGAAGAATTTGAATGCAGGCTACAATAGGTGTCAGTCAGGGACAGGCACAGGCACAGGCACAGAGATGTCAGTGACAGAAGCCATGAGGCCGGCAGAGGAGAGAGTGGAGAGTGAGAATTTGCCAGGAGGAATGGAAACAGATTCCGAGAGAAGTGAGGGGGTGCTGTGGGGTCATTAGAGCAGCTGTGGTGCCGGGAATGCCTGTGGCTGAGATGGTTCCTTCTGCTTCCTTACTTCCCACACGGCAGTTTAGGTCATGTGTGAGCTCTTTGCAATGTATTTAACAAAAACTTACTGTTCTAAGCATTTTATAATCCCTAGAATATAGGCACTGTCATTACCCCACTCTATAGAGGAGGAACAGAGAGGATAAATGCCCTTGCCAAGTACATACTAGTAAATAGCAGAGTCAGGATTCAAACCCAGCCTGCCTGGGTCAGAGCCCAGGCACTTCGCCCTTTTACCATGACTAGAGCCCCGGTGCACGGATTCGTGCACCAGTGGGGTCCCTCTGCCTGGCCTGCGGGGATTGGGCCGAAACCGGCTCTCCAACATCCCCCGAGGGTCCCGGATTG